TACTGTGGGTGACGGAGTAGCTATTCCAGTCTGGCACAGGGCCCTCAGGTATGCGATAAAAGGGATTCGATGCGTGAAGCGTCTTGGAGCGATTCAGGCACACTGGGCCGACGGTATCCCTATACCTGCCAGGCTGGATTTGAAGGCTGGAGGCCGATTCCGTCCCTGCGCAGCTTGTGGTCGCCAGATCAACGAATGCTGGGGACACATTCTGTACGACTGCCCTGCTCTCTTGGAGGGCGACCCCGATGATGAATTTGCTGCCCTGCCTGAACAGCTCGTCGAAGTGCGAGATCGCCTGGTGAATTCTGGAGTCGGGGCAGGTCGTCCCGAATGGGACTACACATACCCTGTCTATGGGATCCCTGAGCTTCCTGTCGGGCTACCTCCGAGAGATTCTGTGAGTTCTGAAGTTTTGTACTGGGGCGATACCGAAGGGCAATGGGGGCCAAAGTCGTACACGGACGGTTCGGGGTTCGGGTCGAATGTGCCAGAAACCAGGAGGTGTGGCTGGGGCCTATGCCAGTTGGACCCCGACACTTTCTTGCCGAAGCGGGCGATTTTCGGCCCATTGCCGTATCTAATCCAGACAGTCGGTCGTGCTGAAAGATATGCTATACGTATGGGGCTGGTTGTTCATCCAAACCACGAGGTTTTCGTGAGCGATTTACTCTCTTTGGTGGAGGAGGGGAATGCTTGGATGGACGAACTTCAGCACGGCCGAAAGCAGCATGCACGTGTGTGGCGAGATATTTTTATTGCAGCTGAGAGGCGGGACAAGAAGCTGCCGCCTCCAGCATTCCAGTGGACCCCTGCGCATCGAGACATCGAAGCTGTGGTGTCGAGCGGGGCTGGTACTACGGAAATTCAAGATTGGCTCGGCAATGCCTGGGCGGACTTTTTCGCAAGAGTTGGCGCTGCTCAACATGCTGTCGCAAAGGTGACGACTGAGAGCGTGGCGTCCGCCCTGAAAGAGCACCGACTGGTTCTTCAGTATGTGTCCTGGGGAATCCAGAGGGTGGTGGAGTCTCAGAAGTACGGACGAGATGTGTTTCCAGGGCCCCGTCCAGTTGAGATTCGTGCGCCTGTGCTCTTTCAAAAAGCGGATGATCATGTATTGTACAAGAACGTCAAGACGGGCGTTTTCAAGTGTAGAAGGTGCGGGGCCTCAGCCCGCACGCCTGCATCCTTCGACAATCTGCGTGTGGGTGGGGGTCGGAAGTGTGTGCCCAGCAAGATCACCCAGGCCCTCACAAATGAGTTCTTCAGGACGTCCCTCGACGTGTGGGAGATGCCAGTGAGTGATGCGCGCGTGGCCGCTGCCCTCGATGCCGCTGCCGCCTTAGAGCCCCAAGGAGCCCCCGAGGAGGCCGAAGGAGGCCCCTCCCAGCCACCTGTGCTCGACGGGGCCTCTAGGGAGGATGTGGACCCCCTCATCCTGGAGTGTGGGGCTCTAGGGCACGATGTGTTCCGTGTTAATTCAATGTATTGCTGCCGTCGTTGTGCAGGGCATTGTTCAGTGTTGCAGGTTAATAGTCTCAGGAAGCTGAAGCGTGAGTGTGTAGGCCTCTCTGACAACCTCAGCACTCGGAGGAACCAGCTCAGGGCGATCGACAGGATCAGCCGTGGGCTCGAGCCACGTCAGCGAGGAGGGGACCCCGAGCCCCCGCCGTAGGCTGTTTTTGGTCTGGGCCCCCAGGTCCCTGGCGTGTGTGGTCCTGGGGCCCCTCGCGTTTCCTGGTGTGGCCGTTTTTCCCTGTCCTTGTTTGTGCTGAGGTATGTCAGTCCAGCTGGCGTACTCTTGGTAGCCTGCACCCTGCACCCTCCTCCTCTTCCTTCTCTTCCTCCTCCTCCTCCTCCTCCTCCTCCTCCTCCTCCTCCTCCTCCTCCTCCTCCCCCTGCCTCTCCGGTAGCAGCGTTTGTTCGTGACATGGCCTTTGTGGATCTCGACCCCTCCCCCCCAGGGCTGGTCTTCAATCCCAGTCCCAGGGAGTTCTAGTTTGCTGACGGTCCCAGGGATAGGGATCGGCCTCCAGACATGACAGATGTTGAAACCCGCCGTCGCGATTCCCAGGCGCCGGGGACTGCCTGGATCTGGGGGAACAGGCAGCGCCGCTCACAGATCTGATGTCTTGACATGTTTTACTCGGGGTCCCCAGAAGTCCCGACCCTTCCCACGCCAGGCTGTTTATCCTTGAGCAGCTGTTGGTTGTCCTGGGGCCCGGCGGCAGTCCTCGTTGGCCTGCTCGGTACGGTGCAGGCCTGGGCGTCGCAATGCTCCAGGTTTCGCGCGAACGGCCTCCGCATGTAGCCCCGGCTGGCCCCCGTATTCCTCCCGAGTACAGCCAAGACGCTGCAATAAGGACCACCTCGGGCTCAGTAGGGGCTGCGGTTTTCGGGCCGCTCCTCAAATCTGGGTCGGGGAACCTCTCGAGGCCGAGGCTCGCCGTGGCCAGAAGAGCCCCTCGGGTGCTCCTTGTGGCGTTCCTTACGATGGGACGCCGACTCTACTCCAGATTTCGTAATAAAAGGGAGGGGGTCTGGACCCTCCAAGACAAGCCATTTCAGACCCCCCCCGTGGGAGAACCCTCCAAAACATCGTCCCAGACCTCTCCAAGATAGCCTGGAAGAGCCCCCCCCCCCCCCGAAATGAGACCCCCCTCCCTCCCTTTATTACGAAATCTGGAGCAGCCCGGGACGGCCTCCTCCCGGCCCGCAGCCCCCCCGCGTGAGAGCGCCTGGCGGGAGGACATCTTCGACGCCGTCTTCACGGGGCTCCTCGGGGTCTGCGTGTGGTGCTCTCGCGCCGCCGCGCGCGCCGCCCCGCGCGCGGCGCGCGGCACGCTCCGGCCCCGACGCGCGCGGCCGCGCCGCCTCGGGCCTCGGCGGCGGTGACGAACGAGGAGGAGCGCAGCGTTCGGGGGGCAGGGTACAACGACGCGAAGCTCGGGACAAAATCGGATCGCGATAGCTCGACATCTCTGAGAGTCGGCGGGTTTGGAGGATGTATATGGGGCGCCGCGGCCGCTCCAGAGCGTTCCGGAACGCTCTGAGGGCGCTCCGGAACGCTCTGGAGCGATTTACCCCGATCCTAGCCCTGTTTTAGGGCAGGGGTGCATCGAGCCTCGATCGCTCCTTGATCGCCGAGGGGGTCTGACAGCCCCACCCCGCACAGGGATGGTGCGGATCCGCCATCGGTGGCCTCTCGCGGATCCGTCGTCGCTGTCTCGCCGATGCCAGGTCGATGTGTCCCCCCGTGCCAGCCCCTCCCAATCGTTGCCCCGCAAGCGTCGTCGGAGCCATCCCACAGGGTCCACTTCGGTCCGGCCGCTCCGACTTGGTGTTGGCTCTGGCCGGCCCGGCACGATCCGATGCCTATCTTCTGGCGACCCCATGTGGCCCGACGCTTGCATTGGCGCGGTTGTGGGTGCTCGCGCGCCCGTTCCGATCCGACTCCGACTTCGTGACGACGCGGCCCGATGCGATGCATTTCTCGATTCGATGCTGACCGCCCCTGTCTCCGCCTCGTCCAGGGCGGGCCCTGGGATCCTGGCGCTGCATTTTCTCTGCACGGGGCGTCCTCGCGCTCACCTCTTTTTCGGGCCGCGGGACCCTAGCAGATCGACCCGGCTCGAGAAACGCAGCAGGAAGTTGGGATCCAGGGCTTCGGCCGTAATTTCACACGATGTTTGATCTTCGATCGCGTCGTCGCATCTCAGGGGTTGGATGGCTCTCCCAGCGTACCTGGAAGTGGGGATGGATGGTCTGTGTCCAGAGATGTCAGATGATCCGCGGTGCATTATAATCGTTGGAGCAACCGTTGTGATGCAAACTATGCCGTGCAATCTATGTTGAACAAGCTAAGTGGTACAATCGATGTGATGCGAGCAATGTGGTGACATCGTGGTGGTGTATTTTAGGTTTGCAACTTATGCGGTGCAGTATATGTAGTGCAACTGATGTGGTGCAAGCTACGTGGCGAATCTGTGTTGTGCACGAAATAATGTGGTGCAGTATATGTTGTGCAAGATCTTTGGTGCACTCCATGTGGTGAAGCTGCGAAGCTATGAGGTGCAACCTATGTCGTGCAGTATATGTGGTGCACGAGATGACGCGCAATCATCCCACCCACCCGCCCGCAGCTTGGTTTGCAAAACCGATGCGGCGGCGATTGTGAGATGGCTGCTTGGCGCTGGCTGGCGTATCGCTGCGGCCGCGCTAGCGCGCGCAGGTTCGCGCGCAGACCAGCCAGCTAGTCTGGCGCGACCGACGCGGCCGCGGTTGCGCTGACCGTCTGGGACTTCAACCGCGCTGACGCGCGGGCACTTCAGTGCGAGTCGGGTTTTCAGGCGGGCGCGGTATCATGAGGTCGACAACAGCAGGCACGATGATGACTGTAACCATCTTGACAGATGTCGGAGGATCGAGCATGTGTTTTCTCATAAGTTTTGGCCACTGGAGTCCCGTTCTGGCCGCCGGGACCGCCGTACATCGATTTGAGTAACAGACTGGGCAGGATGGACCACGGGAGGGGTCCAGAGGTCAATTTTGAGCGGATGTTTCCGGCGGAGGGAGAAGACATTCTGGCCATGGCAGCGAGGATGTTTCAGGATTTGGAATGTTGAGCTTTCTGTGTGCGTGTTGGATCTCCTGAACCGTTCTCTTTGCCATGGATGGACCAGATCCGCCCCGAATTCTGGACAGAACGGGCCCCAGGACTGGTTCAGGGGACGGTTTTTGAAAGATGATGAAGAAAGGAGGACGCGGAGGAGGAGGAAGGGCAGAACGAGGAGAAAGAGGCGGTAGACGAAGCAGGGTGGGACGACGTGTGGAAGTCAAACCTGTCGTTTTGAGGACACTCGTGTCGCCGGCGTTCCCAGGATCGACCGTCCTCCTTGTTTCACTTGTGTTGGTGGTCATCGTCGTGGTCCGCAGTGTTGCGTGTATGGGCAAAGGGGCGAGTGACGGTATATCTTTCTGCCGAACTTCATGGCTCAAAAGCGTGCCAGGGCAATTGCAGGGGCCTTCCACTCGTGCATCAACCTGACACTCTCCATGGTTTCATGCTTCCACTCCGGTATTTAAGAAGACATTTCTATGCATTGGCACGCCTCTCCTGCTGTCTTGCTTCGATTGCCTGTCTTTCCCGCTGTGCGTCATTAGACAATTCACTGTTCGTTTTTGTCTTGCTCCAATCTTCCCGTTTGTTCAAGAGCTTTCTTTTTGTGGTCAGGGCAGCCTTCATGTTGTTGAGTGACGGCATCCTCTACTCTTCAGCGCTTCGCGAGTATCCTGTCTCGTTTTCTCTCTCCCTCTCTCTCTCTCTGTCTCTCCCTCTCCCTCTTTCCTCTCTTTCCCTTTGTCCTTCTCTCCATGTTCTCTCTCTCTCTCTCTCTGTTTCTCTCCCCTCTCTCGCTCTCTGCCTTTTCTGTGTGTCTCTGTCTCTGTCTCTGTCTCTGTCTCTGTCTCTGTCTCTGTCTCTCTCTCTCTCTCTCTCTCTCTCAATATTTATATATATACACATGATTATATCCCTCCCTGCCTTCTCGCTCTCCTTCCCTCTCTCAGTCTCCGCACCCAGATGGTATCTCTACCCTCCACCCGCTTTGCCCGCCTGCCAGGGCCCCTTGTTTCGGTCAGCGTGCCCGTGCTCGCCTGGCTTCGCCACCTCCACATTGGGAGGCAGGCTCGCGCCATTGTCGGCCCTGGCCGACGACGGCTCGAGATTCGCCTCGTGCTCTCGGGCTCCTGTGCCGCACCGCTTCCCCTTTGAAGAGCTCTCTTTCTCTTTCTCTCTCTCTCTTTCTCTCTCTCTCTCTCTCTCCCTCTCTTCCTGCCCTCTGCCGGCTGTCTTCGCCCAGCCCCCCTCCCGCCTGCCCGCCCGCCCCGCTGGCCCCACTTCCCGCCTGCGCGTTCGTCGTCTGCCTGCGTTCCCCTTCCTCTGCCCCCTTCGCTGGACAGCACAGCCTGTTCGGACCCAGCGTGGCGGCGCGCATGGTTCCGGCCTGAGGAGCCGAGGGGCCAGGGAGGCCATGCACAGTCGCCGCACAGCTAATGAGCTGCAGTCCTGTTGCTACCTACGTCCTACCACCTGCCAGCACCGGTCAGGACCCGTGCGGAGGGACCGATCATGTCCTCCGTCTATGTGTACTTGTTGCTGCAGTTGTTCAGCGGGCGCCGCCAGCTCCCCTTCGTTGGCGCGCGCGACGCTGCCGATTGGGCGGCGGTTCATCGTGTCGCTGGCCGTTGTGCTGTAGGTTGTGATGTTTCTGCGCCGTCGCTTTTCTCGCCTGCCGGCGATCCGGAGTAGCACCCTGGCTTGCCACATGGAGCACGCAAGGGAAGCACGGGGCACGGAGTCTGAAGCACGTGAGGCCCCATGCTTGCCTCGAGTGCTTTCGGCCCTGGCGGAGCTCAAATGGGTTTCGGCCCTCTTCACCTCTCTATTTGGGTTGCGGCCTTCAGGACTTATTCCGCAGTCGGTCATCAGTCCTAGGTGTCCTCTCCTGCCCTCCTTTCTTCTCCCTCCTTCCTCCATTCCTCTCCTGTCCTCACCTCCTCTCCAGCCCTCCCTCTCCTTCCCCCCCTCTCCTCTCCCTTCTCCCTCCCCTCCCCAGCCTCCCCTCTTCTCCTCCCCTCCGTCCCCTCCCTCTCATCCCCTCCCTCCCTCCCTCTCCCCTCCCTCCTCTCCTTCCTCCCCCACCCCCGTGGGCGTCGTATCTCCCCACCGCCACCCCTCGGTGTTTGCCGAGCGGGCTCAACTTTTCTCGCCGCCGGCCGGGGTCAATGCCTCAAGCGATGTGTAAAGGGGTGTGAGGCCAGCGCTGGATCTGGCGACGGCATCGACGATATCCGCAAGTGCCTCAGTTGCCGATGTAAACCACGTTTGTTTCGCGACGACCGCATCAACCGACGTCAGACCTTCTGGTTCGGACTCTCCCAAGCCGGGCCCGTCTAATCCGAACGGCTGCGTAATACCAATTCCAGCACGTCCGATCGCCAGGCGCGCGACTCTCGGAATTTCGCAAATTCATGTTTGTGATTTCGGAATTTCCGGAAACATGTTTTGGGCGTTTCGGAAGTTCCAGAATCATTGTGTTCGGGATTCGGTATTTGGGGGTCGTTGGTTTGGCGATCGGACGAGTTGGGTTTGGCATTTGCGTTGTTGTTCAAATTTGATTGCGACCGGTCGGGTGTGGTGGAATCAGGTCTAACGTTGTTGACGCGATTGTCGCAAGGGCAGCGTGGTTGATATCCGCATGTAAGGTACTCGCAATTTCCAGCGCTGGCACCGCCCCTATTTACATCACACCCCGATCCCCCCTCCCCTCGGCCCCTCAGACGGGGGAGGGCAGGATGGAGGGGAGAGATGGGAGGGCAGGGGAGGGGAGAAGCTGAGGAGAGAAGGAAGGACGGCTCTTTGCGCCAGGGGAGGGAGGAGGTGAAGGGAAGGCGAGGAGGAGCAGCAGCGGGAGGAGGGAGCAACAGGCAGTGCAGTGAAGGAGAGGTCGGCCTCCCGCACAGTTCTTGACCCGCGTGGGCTTCCAGCATCTGGCCTCGGCGTTGACCGTCGGCGGCGCCCTGCAGCAAGATCCTCGAGCGTGGGAGGACCGACGGGGCCTCGTCCTTCCCACTCCTCCTGGCTCTCCTCCTCCAGGAGTGCGTGGGGCGAGGACGGTCGAGAGCAGACGCCCCTCCCCTCCACTGCCCCGCCCCCTCCACGCTCCCCACCCCGAACAAGCCATCCCGTCTCCACGCCTCCCTCGCCCCCAGCTCCTCCTTCCCACTCCTCCGCCTCTTCCCCCATCTACTCCACTCTCCCCACCCCCCCGCAGACGACCACGACTCCGACCACCACATCCTCCCATCGCCTTCTCCTCTCCTCGTCCTCATCTTTTTGTGTCGGCCCTTCAGTGTTCGATCTATAGGAGCTTCTTGGAACATCTGCTGGACATATCGCCAGGGCAACACCGCTCAACGCCACCCAGCACCGCTCAGTACCGAACCACTCATTCACTGAGCGGCGTTGAGCGGTGTTGCGCAGTGTATGTTTCCGAGTCGTGGCCAGATCCCCCACACGACTTACCCTGCCGCTCTCTGCGAGCATAATCGACATGTCAGGGCCCCAGGGCCCGAAACGGGGTGAGACTACCCGGTGCGAATATCGCTATCGTTCTTTGTTTGTTTCTCTCGATTCTCTCACCAAGTATGGGTATGTATATACACGTGTACATATATATATATATATATATATATATGTATGTATGTGTATATATATAGATATATGTGTGTATATGCATTAACACACACATATAGATGTATTGGCTCACCGTGTCTGGGTTTTGGGTTAGAGGCCTCTGGGATGTTCTTTTAGATATCGCGGGAGGCCCTGGGGGCCTCTTGGAGGCAGTTTTGAGGCCTCTTGGGGGCCGTTTGGGGGCCGCTTGGGGCCCTTTTTGGAGGCCCCTTGGGGGCCTCGTGGGGCCTCTAGGGGGCCTCTAGGGCTCTCTCTTGGGGGCCTCTCGGTGCCTACTGGGGCGCCTCTTGGGGCGGAATGCTCGAATTGCCGGTTCGCGTTCCCCCTCTTGAGTCCCTCTTGGGGCAGTCGTGGGCGATCTGAGGCGCCTCTTGGGGCGTTCTTCTGTCTTTTTGGACCGTTGTGGGTCCTTCTCGGGGCATCTTGCGCCTTTCTGGGGCCGTCTTGGAGCGTCGGAAGCCCGCAAACGCGAGAACGCGAATAACATCGAACAGCACGAGGAGAATATATGTTTTTTCCTAACCCTCCTTGGTTGGGTATTCGTTTCGAAAAGAGCACTGGTCGCGTCCTTCTCCTTCTCCCGCCTCCCGTCTCCCGCTGTCGTCTTGTCTCCTCTTGTCTTGTGCCTACCTCGTGTGTGTGTGTGTGTGTGTCTGTGTGTGTCTGTGTGTGTCTGTGTGTCTGTGTGTGTCTGTGTGTGTCTGTGTGTGTCTGTGTGTGTCTGTGTGTGTCTGTGTGTGTCTGTGTGTGTCTGTGTGTGTGTGTGTGTGTGTGTGTGTGTGTGTGCGCCGTCCCTGGGGGGCTGCGATCTGCGACACTGTCACCACTTTCGAGGGCTGCTGGTGGGTCCCGCGGACTGAGGCACCGCGGGGATCTGAGCGAGAGATCTGCGACACCGTCGCCACTTTCGAGGGCTGCTGGTGGGTCCTGCGGACTGAGACACCGCGGGGATCTGAGCGAGACCTCGCCGTCCCTGGGGGGCTGCGATCTGCGACACCGTCGCCAAGTTCGAGGGCTGCTGGTGGGTCCTGCGGACTGAGGCACCGCGGGGATCTGAGCGAGACCTCGCCGTCCCTGGGGGGCTCCGATCTGCGACACCGTCGCCACTTTCGAGGGCTGCTGGTGGGTCCTGCGGACTGAGGCATCGCGGGGATCTGAGCGAGACCTCGCCGTCCCTGGGGGGCTGCGATCTGCGACACCGTCGCCACTTTCGAGGGCTGCTGGTGGGTCCTGCGGACTGAGGCACCGCGGGGATCTGAGCGAGACCTCGTCGTCCCTGGGGGGCTGCGATCTGCGTCGCCACACTGAGGCACCGCGGGGATCTGAGCGAGAGATCTGCGACACCGTCGCCACTTTCGAGGGCTGCTGGTGGGTCCCGCGGACTGAGGCACCGCGGGGATCTGAGCGAGAGATCTGCGACACCGTCGCCACTTTCGAGGGCTGCTGAGTGAGCGTCGACTGAGGCTGCTGGTGGGTCCTGCGGACCACCGCGGGGATCTGAGCGAGACCTCGCCGTCCCTGGGGGGCTGCGATCTGCGACACCGTCGCCACTTTCGAGGGCTGCTGGTGGGTCCTGCGGACTGAGGCACCGCGGGGATCTGAGCGAGACCTCGCCGTCCCTGGGGGGCTGCGATCTGCGACACCGTCGCCACTTTCGAGGGCTGCTGGTGGGTCCTGCGGACTGAGGCACCGCGGGGATCTGAGCGAGACCTCGCCGTCCCTGGGGGCTGCGATCTGCGACACTGTCGCCACTTTCGAGGGCTGCTGGTGGGTCCTGCGGACTGAGGCACCGCGGGGATCTGAGCGAGACCTCGCGTCCCTGGGGGGCTGCGATCTGCGACACTGTCGCCACTTTCGAGGGCTGCTGGTGGGTCCTGCGGACTGAGGCACCGCGGGGATCTGAGCGAGACCTCGCCGTCCCTGGGGGGCTGCGATCTGGTCGCCACTTCGAGGGCTGCTGGTGGGTCCTGCGGACTGAGCCACCGCGGGGATCTGAGCGAGACCTCGCCGTCCCTGGGGGGCTGCGATCTGCCACACTGTCGCCACGTTCGAGGGCTGCTGGTGGGTCCTGCGGACTGAGGCACCGCGGGGATCTGAGCGAGACCTCGCCGTCCCCGGGGGGCTGCGATCTGCGACACCGTCGCCACTTTCGAGGGCTGCTGGTGGGTCCTGCGGACTGAGGCACCGCGGGGATCTGAGCGAGACCTCGCCGTCCCTGGGGGGCTGCGATCTGCCACACTGTCGCCACGTTCGAGGGCTGCTGGTGGGTCCTGCGGACTGAGGCACCGCGGGGATCTGAGCGAGACCTCGCCGTCCCCGGGGGGCTGCGATCTGCGACACCGTCGCCACTTTCTAGGGCTGCTGGTGGATCCTGCGGACTGAGGCACCGCGGGGATCTGAGCGAGACCTCGCCGTCCCTGGGGGGGCTGCTTTAGTTATCACTACGACGCCCATCGAGCCATGACGACGCACTGCGTCAGTAATATCTTGATCGGGGGCCTGCGAGTCTTCCGATTGCTGCTCGCAAAAACCACATGCGTCCATGTTACGTCATCTCCCCCGTTATAGCAATCCTGAAGTACTTATGCCCCGCATTGCGCAAGGTTTGGGTACGTCGCCAGGGTAATTGCCTGTTTGGGCCCTCTTGGAGCGCGTCTCTTTATTGCTTGGGGCATGACGGGCGTCATGGCCCCCGCCCCCCCCTATGACGTAACGCTCCCCCCCCCCGGGTGCGCTCCTTGCACTGCCGCCGTGCGTTTTGGGATCCGCGTGGGTGTCCGCGTAGGAATCCGAATAAGAGTGTGGTCCGCAGTCGTCGTCATCGTCGTTGTCGACGCTCGTGGCTTGTCGCTCGTCGCTCATAATCGTCGTGCGCGCGGACGCGGCTGAAGTTTTTTGTTATTCCGAGCCGATGACGGCAATTTTCTAGGGGGAGGGGGTCGATGTCGTCACGTTTCTAGCCAGCGGCGTCTTGGAAGGCCTAGGAATGACGTAGGACGGGTAGCGCCAGCATGCAGGTGGCGATTTGCACCACAACGCCTGTGTACACCACCGTGTCTGCGTGCACCACAGCGCCTGTGTACACCACACCGCCTAGGTACACCACACCAGCCGCGTGCAACACAGCGTCAGTTTGTGCCACCGTGCCTGCGGGCACACCAGCTCTTGTGCACACCACAGCGCCTGCGTACACCACACCAGCCGTGCGCAACACAGCACCAGTGTACACCACAATGCCTGCATGCATTGCAGTGCCTGTGTACATCACGGCGCCTGTGTGCACAGCAACCGTGTGCAACACAACACTATTATTGCAGATAGAATGCTATAACGAATCCTTCATGATCAAATGGAGCGCTTGTAGATTTCATTGAAAACATCTAAAACATACCGTATCGACAACGGAGCGCCGCTGGAATCTACGAGTCCCCCCGAGTCCGCCCGCATCACCCTAATTCCTCCCATTTGCGTCCAGGAGGCTCCAGCTAAATTGGCCGTCCGAGAACCGGGTGAACTGATTCAATCGACAATTCTGCGGTGCGCGCTGAGATGCCCACGCGCGCTGTACCGCCAATCCGCACGACAGGGGGTAAGGAGGAGGAGGAGGCGGAAAAAAAGGAAGAGGATGAGGAGGAGGTGGTGGAGGTGGAAGGGGAGGAGGGAGGATGGAAAAACGTCGCGTTCGATTATTCGCACTTTTCCTGGCGTGGCGTCTAGTTGTCCGCAGCAGATCCTCACGTACATGCTCCTTCTACCTCCTGTGCACGCAGGCATCGTGGTGTACACCAGCGCTGCGTTGCACGCGGACTCTGTGGTGTAGACGCGCGCTGTGGCGTGCACAGGCGTCGCGGTGCACGCAAGCATTGCTGTATACACAGGCGCTGTGTTGCACCTGGTAGCTGCGGTGTACACGTTTACACTGGTGGTATCGTGTGCGCTCGCATTGTAGTGTGCACAGACGCTGCGTTGCACACGGTTGTTGCGGTGCACGCAAGCGCTGTGGTATACACGCGCGTCGTGGTATACACGCGCGTCGTGGTGCACGCTGGGCAGATCGCCACCTACATGCTGCTCGCGTCGTCGTCGTCGTCGTCGTCGTCGTCGTCGTCGTCCTCGTCGCTCGTCGCTCGTCGTTCGTCGCGTCGCGCGCGCGGGCGCTGCTGCGGTGCTGTGGCCACACGGCGGGGGGGGGGGGGCGTGACGTCATACCCCCTTCTCGCCCCCCCCCCCATGACGCCCGTCATCGCCGAACATACAGAAACGCGTTTTGGGGGTCCTCTTGGAGGGCTCTTGGGGATCCTTCGGGGCCTTTCTTGGCAGTCTTGGGACCGTGTTGGGCGTCTTGGAGCGCTCTTGGGCTGTCTTGGAGGCCTCTTGGACCCTCTTGGGCGTTTTCTGGGGTCCTCCTGGCCCGTCTTGGGGCCCTTTTCATGCGTCTGGGAAGTCTTGCGAGGCAGTCCAAGAACGCGAGGGAACGCGGATCTGAAATTTGAGAAGTTGGGGGCCTGGCCCCTAGAATACTACAATCCCAGAGTCCAGACAAAGAGAACAGAGGACACATGATAGCCAGACAAAGTTGCATTTCGCACTTCGCACTTCGCGGCACGGCGGTGGATTGTATGTGCGTGTGTCGATATATACACACAAGCACACATGCATAGGTATACATGGTTATATATATAGGTGTCAGTGTAGGTGCAAGCATGCTTGCATGCATGCAATGAAGTACGTGTGTAAGCATGTATACGCGCAAATAGGTGCCTCTTGTTTTTGGTGGACCCACGTCTGTGTGCATTGATGGATGCATGCAGGTATAAATACACGTGTGAGTATGTGTAGGTGTATGTGCGTAGGGGTGTATGTGTGTCTGGCCGTGTGCTTATATGCAACGATGTGGGCATGTGTGTGTATGTGCATGTGTGTATAATCGTTCAGGTATGCGTACATTCACTGATGTACGTGCACACGTGGGTTTGTGTGCATGCAGGTTTGTGCGTGTTGGACGCTCGGGTCGCAGGGCCTCCCTGCTTCGGGTGTTGCCCGAGGTGGCCCCGGCCCGAGGTGGCCCCCGCGAAGGCGGGGAGGGCCTCCAGGCCACACCAGCGAGGCCCCGAGGGCCCCAGGGGGCGCCAACAATGACCAGACGCTCCAACACCCGACCCCGTGCCTCGAAGAAGACACAACTGCACAAACATGAATGGTTGACGGTCCGCGCGGATTCCCTGAATCCGCGCTGTACACACTCCCTGCCGCGCGGAGTGCGCAAGGGGCCAGGGGCGTCAGCGCAAATGCAAGAAATCCGAGCGGACCGTCAAACGCTGATGTTCACACAGTGCTTCCTTCCTCGAGCGGCGCGCTTCGATCCCGCTGGAGCCGCTGCCCCCCCCCCCGCCCCCCCGAGGAGGCCGTCCTGGCCCCCGAGGCGGGTTTGGCGGTCCTCCGGCCGGCAGGAGCGGGGCGGCTGGGGCTGCTCCCTCCGTGCGAAGATGGGGAGGGGGGGCACGGGGCGGATGAGGAGGAGGAGGAGGAGGAGGAGGAGGAGGAGGAGGAGGGGCGGAGGACGGGGCCCAGGAGGTGGAGGAGGTGGGGGAGGAGGAGGGCCTCGGGCAGCTGCGAGGCCTGGCCCCCGCAGTGCGGGCACGCGCGCGGGGCACCCGCCCCCCCTGCCAGAGCCCTCCTGGGACGGAGGCATGCCCGCCTTGTGTGCCCAGGGTCTCGGCACAGCGCGCCCCCCTCGGGTGCCCACGACCAGACCAGACCAGGGGGAGGAGGACGAGGAGGATGAGGAGGAGGAGGAGGAGGAGGAGAAGGAGGGGGAGGAGGAGGAGGAGGAGGAGGAGGAGGACGAGGAGGAGGAGGAGCATGTAACGTATCTCCTGGCGGTAACGTTAAGTCGGGCATGTCCTTCTGCAGGAGGAACATCCAAAACCAGTAAAAAGTAGTCAGATCACGATTTTCGTGTTCTTGTGGCTATGTTTGGTTGTTGTGCGATTCTTGTGTTGTTTGTCTTTTAACATTCGCCTCTAGGAGGACATGCCCGACCTAAGGCCCGTTTCTGTATCCTCTGGCGATAACGGCCGTTACCAGGGGGGGAGAGAGGGGGGGGCCGAGGTGGCTGGTAGCACGATCCGTGCCGACGCAACTCTGGAAACCAGCTCCCCTTCTTGTAGCAGTTCCCTCGGCTGCACGCGAGGGTGAACTTTCGCACTGTGTGGCTCTTGGTGCGGGCACAGTGGGGTCACCAGGTGGCTGAACGTAACATGTCAGCAGCGGCGTGCGCCGCTCTGGCGTGTCGTCCGTCGGTTCCCAGATGGCTTCGGCGCGAATCATTACATCACTACGTGTGGGGGGGGAGGGGGGGCATCCCTGGGAACGGCCGTTACAGTCGAAGCGCATAGGAAGGATGAGTGACTTCTCAAAGTTACCCAGGCATCCCTCCCAATCGGCTCATCCTTGGCCACTATCGGTAGCCGCGTACCGCTCGAAAGGTGTCGACATGGCCTTCCGAGGCCCTTGCATCCTTATCGTGCATCCTTATTGTACGTGTCGACTTGATCCACCACCACCACCACAGAGCCAAGCAGCCGGAAGGACGCGTGGGCAATAGCGCGCGCGATCGGCAACTCCTTTCGGAAATTACGAGACGAGTCCCGCCATCGCTTATTTCCCGGGTCTCCAACGCCATCATGCTGGTTGACTCTATTGCGAATCGCAAGAGATGCACTGTAGGTCGGGCAGGGTCGGACTCGTCTAGGACGACGAACTCCGTTCCAGAGCGTTCTGGAACGTTCCTGAGAAGGCCGCGGCGCCCGATACATTCGCCGGAGCCGCCAGATATCAGAGATGCTCTTAGCGTCGTCGTCCTGGCCTCGTCTTCGAGGGGGCCGTGCCCGCCGCCCGCCGCAGGAGCCAACGGATCCGCCCCTGGGCTGCGGCTGCTCGCCGGAGACCCGCGCAGCTGGGAGCGCGCGGCCGCCCGGGCGCGGGGGAAATCGAATCGCAAGAGGTCCGGCCCAAGGTTCGGGACGACGGAAATGGTCGGGGGGTGCTAAGAGTGGCCCTGGCCCAAGGGTCCCCCCCAGCTCTTCGCTCAACTTTTAAAACAATAAATCAAAAAAGAAAACATAAAAATAATAAATAAACAAAATAAAATAAACTAGAATAACAAAAAAACAAACTTTGGGGCCCCGGGGGCCCTCTGGGCCTCGTGAGGGGTGCTCTGGAGGCCGTGGGGGCCCCCTTGGAAGTGCTGGGGGCACCCTGGGCCAGGGGCACTTCCAGCAACACCCGATGATGTGTTAGCAGAGTGGGCGGCAGAAGAGAACGGGACTTGCACGAGATGACGTGGGAGTTTACGCGGTGGTTGACATGGGCCGCCAGCGCGGCACACAGAGAGCGCTTAAGGCTTACGCGCCATCTTACATTTGAAGGGTCACGCGTGAATGTCGGCGCAGTCGAACCCGTACTCCTGCGTCGCTCACATCATGGTTCCTTGATCGTATCGGCACGGGGGGTGCTAATGTGGGTTATGCCTGGCCGAACCTAGCTCATATGCTTGTTTACAGATGCCCCAAGTGGCTTAGGGAGGAGCTCACTCAGTTCGGATCGTTACCACCCCAAACCCTCCGAGGCACTTTGAACTCACTTGCAGTCTAGGTTAATCTAGGTTAAGCCAGATCTAACCCACCTCGGCATTGGCTGACCACCCTCTGCCCCCTTGGCACCCCACTCGCCGATGCCCAATAGAGGCCTCTACGCCTTCCCGAGTCCATCCTGTGGACGGCCCGGGGGCCCAGCACGGACCCCCAGACCCCGAATAAAACCCACGCCATCCGTCGTTGTCGTTGTCACTGGCCTTACCTCGCATGCTTCGTCGATCTGTTCGTCAGTGCCGTAGCCTGGCGCAAAGCAACATCGATAACGACTTCAGCTGCAATTGCTTTGCGCTTGTCGTTCTGCCTATTCTTTTCTGAGACCGAATCGGGCAACAAGTAGACGGGCACGATGCCCAAGAACAGGTGTTGTCCACAGCCGACAGAGGCCGCTGCTGGGCAGGCGGCCTTCCGTCCCAAATGGACTGCGCCCGCGGCGACGCCGACAACAAACCCTGGGCAGGGTGAACAAGAGCTGCTGTTGGACTTTTGAGGGGCAACGAGATGGGGGGGCTGGCATAGGGGTGGAATCGGCGATACATCGCCGATAGATCGGCAATAGGACCCCGATAGCAAATCCGCACGCTCCTGGGCGGGGTGGGGCTGTCGGACCGATCGGGGATCGGCGGTTGGGGGTCCATGCGTATCCCTTCATGCCTACCCCCCCCTCGGCGCCCCTGAACTTTGTACCCAGTGTCTCCGTACTTACGCGTTTCGGGTGCTGCTGGAAGTGCCCCTGGCCCAGGGTGCCCCCCCCCGGATTCTCAGGGAGGCCCCCACGGCCTCCAGAGCACCCCTCACGAGGCCCAGGGGGCCCCAGGGGCCCCAAAGTTTGTTTTTTTGTTATTCTAGTTTATCTTATTTTGTTTTTTATTATTTGTATGTTTTCTTGTTTGATTTATTTGTTTAAAAGTTGAGCTGGGGGGACACCCTGGGCCAGGGCCACCCTTCGCACCCCCCCGGCGCCGCGGCGTCGGCTGCCTGCGGCCGTCCGCCCTGGGCGCGGTGGCCGGCCATGGGTCGCCTCGAGCGTTCCCCCGGGGTCCTCGCGCCCTTCCCTCGCGAGGGCCGCCGCCTCGGCGCCGCGGCGCTCCTCCGCGCCTCTTCTCCTGCTCCTGCCTGCTCCAGGGCCGTCCCGCCAGCTGGGGTGAAGACGCGCTACCCCGTCTCGGGTCACCGCCCCCCTCGTCGTCGTCGTCGTCGTCGTCCTCCTCCTCCTCCTCCTCCTCCTCCTCCTCCTCCTTTTTAGGAGTCACCTGCGACGTTTTGGATCTGCTTCGACGCTCCGCAGTGCCGCCGAGTCTGTGACGCGTGAAGGCGCATCTTCTCCTGCTGCACCAGGTTGGGGTGGCCCGTGGGTCAGCCAGGGAGCCCGTGTATAGAAGGGTGTCAGGGACCCCAAAGCAGGCCACATACGGTAGGTTCGTGTCGTGTTGACTCGCGGCGACCCCGCCAGCGGCGTTCAAGGTTGAACGCCGCGGGCGGCCCAGAATCGGTCGATGTTGAACGATCGGACGTTGCGGCAGCGGCCGATCGTTCAAGGTTGAACGATCCCTGCGGTGTCAAGAACCAACGCTGGGGTCGGCACGACACGAACCTGCCGTAGAAGGGTGTCAGGGACCCCAAAGCAGGCCACATAGTTAAGACCTGATGTTGGGGGTGCCCACAGTGCAGTTCCACAGGGCGCATCCTCAAGATGCAGAATTTCCCACGCCATGTGCAACGTATGCATGGTTATGCACAGCGCACTTTTTTTGTGTGAGCTGAATAAAATCGGCAGCAATGCAACCTGCTTGGCAATCGCAAAACTGACGGGCCTGAAATGCTGAATTCTTGACCGTTGACATCGCCCTACAGTAAGCGTGACTTCTTATTCGTGCACCTCCTCCCTGCTTAAGCGGGGTGTAGGGGAGATGGGGCGGGGCCGGGGCAATCTCCTCATCCTCCCCCCCTTGTCGTTATCCTTCCTTTTTTCCCGCTCCACCCTCGGCAACCAATTGCGCGAAAAACACTTCACTCAAAATGTTCCGCGGCCTAGCCGCGCTCGGCATTACACCCCTCCCTCTGCCTGTGCATTCTCCTCGCCGGTTCTACCGTTCCTCTTTCGTCTCTCATCTCCCCTCTTTCCTCTCAGCACAGTCGGCATCCACGCTTTGAGTGTTCAACAGTGGGCGCAAGGGCCGTGGCCAGGGCAGCCGGGGAGGTCAGTGCGGATTTCGTGGCCCCACTAATCCACAGATGCTCCTTTAAAGTGTGGATCTGGTCGGGGGTCGGTCAAATCCACAGATGCCCCCTTGAAGTGTGGATCATGTTGGGGGTCTGTAGAATCCACAGGTGCTCCTCTGAAGTGTGGTTCTTGTTGGTGGTCGGTCAAATCCTCGGATGCTCCTTTCAAGTGTGGATGAAAGCTCCAGTGTGGATGCACGTCGGAGGGTGGTTGCCCAAATCCACAGATGCCCTCTTGAAGTGCGGATCCGGTCTGGAGTCGGTCAAATACACAAGATGTTCATTTGAAGTGTGGATCCGGCCTGGGGTCGGTCAAGATCCACAGATGCCGCCTTGAGCTGTGGATTCTGCCGTGGGTCGGTCAAATCCACAGGTGCTGCTTGGAAGCGGGGACCGAGTCGGGGGTCGCCCAGATCCACAGATGCTCACTTGAAGTGTGGATCCTGTCGGGGGTCGGTCGTCAGGAGGGAAAGAAACACACAGACACAATTAATCGTCGACTCCCAGGAAAATATGCAAAAATATGGGAAGTGGTGGGGAAGACAAAAACCCAGAAAATATGGGAACATATGGGGGATATCTTTATTTGTGTGTATTTATTTGTGTGTTCCAGTTCCCCTTCAGGTCGGACCGATCCCGTCGGATCCACAGATGGACTCCATGCGTGGGCGCGGGGGGCATGCCCGGGTCGACCCTGGGGCGCACCGCCAGCACCTTTTGGGACCTCGGCCCTGCCCTCGGGGACCACCGGTGAGGGCACTCGAGATCCACAGTCGGGGGAGCGTAAGACCCGGGTTTGCCGGGACTCGGGTTCGCCATCGTTTTTTGACGACCGCGCCTCGGATTTTGACGAGGAGGAGTTTCGTGGGATGTCTGCAGCGGGAGGCCTCGTCAAAATGCAGGCTCGGCCTCGTCATTTTTTTGACGACCTCGTCGGGGATTTTCGAGTCCCCCGTAACCGGGTCTTACGTCTCCCCGACACAGAGTAGCTTGGGGCGTGCCGACCTCGAAGGTTCGTGCATCCAGGGCTGCGCGGGAGTGCGGTCCAGGCCATTCGGGATGGGGCGAGGGCAATGCGCCATCGCGGGGTTTAGTGGGCCGAACGGTCAAGCATTGTCCCTGGGTGCGTGGCGGTAGTGAGATTCCGCGATGCAAATTTTACCGCAAAGCCTGCCCGACGGGTAATTTGATCATCCGCGACTCGCTTCGGCGCCAGCAACGTACTGGTGCAGAATGGCGATCCTCGCCCAAGCACTAGCCACAACGTATGTTATATTGTCTAGGGCGCTGGACATAGACTACCATTGCGTGAAGTCTTGGCTGTCTCGCCGAGACGCCGTTGACGTTATTTCCAGGACCATCGCTTCCTCTTCGGCACCTGCGCGCGCGTCAGCTGCGCGGGGGCCTCTCGGAAAGCTGCCTTCGGGGCGGCCGCGGCCGCAAGCGTGCTATGTGGATTCGAACAATGCATGCGATGACGCTTCCGCTTATACGCATGTTTCACAGCCGAGACAGATCCACACATTGCCCGAATCTGTGGACCAGACTAATCGTCTGGTTTCTGTTCCCCGCTTCCGCGGGCACCCAGCATAGTTCAAAAATCCATCCACCAAATCATCGACGCGAAGTCGCTCTCTCACACCCAGGTACTCATAGACAGATCTCTTCATCGAAAGGAGACAGGAGCATGATATGCACATATGGGGATCCCAGCGTCTAGTAATCATTCAGATGCCTCGGCATCTCCTCACCCTCACACGCCTCACAGCTCGTCCCCCTGATCCTCAGATTCACTCTCTCGTACTGAGCTTCATGCATATTCGGACTCCCCCACACTTGGGCTCACTCGTTTTCAGATTCACTAAGGCTCAGAATCATTCATATTCAAACTCACTCACGCTTAGATTCGCTCGCATTCATTGCTCACCGCGGAATAGCAGGCGTGGCACTTGAGCACCCCAAGGGGGAGCCGCTGGGGGGGGGGGACACTCTTGGATTCGCGCTCAGATGGGGGGGATCTCTCACGCGATTTGCCTGTTTGCATGCCTGACAGCTTTTGCTTTCGGAGCAGCTTGTGAGGATGTCTTAACGCCCCAGAGGGAGCCCCCGGGGTGGGGATACTCCAGGAGTCGCGCCCAGATTGCCGGGGATGGTTCCGGCGACTTGCCTGTTTCCATACGCGACATGTTGTGTTGTCGGAGCAGTTCGTGAGGATGTGTCAGGCGAGCCGCTGGCTTCAGCAGTCCGAAGTGCCGCCAGTTCGCGCTCAGAGTTCGGGGATGTCTTCGGCGGTTTGACTGTTTGCATGCGCCACATCCTTTGCTTTCGGAGCAGCTTGTGAGGATGTCGCAGGCACGGCGCTGGCTTCAGCTCTCCGAGAAGGGAGCCGTCAGGGTGGGGGCGACTCCAGGAGTCGCGCCCAGAATGCTGGGCTGTCTCTGGCGGTTGGCCCCTTTCCATGCGCAGCAGTTTGCGCGGTCGGAACAGTTTGTGAGGATGTTTCAGGCGACTCGCTGTTTTCGGCACTCTGAAGTGGGAGCTGCAAGGGGGTGTACCACGGGCCCGTTCGCGCCCAGATTGTGGGGATTTCTCTCGTGCGGTCTGCCTGTTTCGGCCCCCAAACCCGTCAGAGCAGACGGTGAGGATGCATCAAGAGGCGCGCTGGCTCCAGCACACCATGGGGCCCACACTGTCGGGATGCTTCCGGCGATTGCCTGTTCCGGTGCCAAATACACGCAGCCTGCGCTCACACATCCCGGAAAGTCACACTCAGACCACTCGCGTTCACATTCAGGCCATTCAGACCTCCCACGCCCACGCCCACACTCAGCTACTGTCAGACCGCTCCCGCTCACACTCAGACCGTTCACATTCAGACCTCGCACGCTCACACCGACGCTCAGATCATCCACGTTCACTCACACATCCACATTCACTCACACTCACGCGCATAGACTCACTCACAATCAGACTCGCTCACATTCAGACTCATTCACACCCAGATGCACTTGCTCCCGCAATATCGTACCCACACGGCTCGTTCGTGCTTAGATGTTCTCGCACGTGGACGCTCGCAGCGGGAACAGTGTCGGCAGATTGATGAGCACGTGGAAACCTCCGCATCGAATCACTGCTCCTCAGTCCTCCTATCTCTCAGCGCACGGTCTGGCCCCCCCTATCGTCCGCGCGCGTGCCTCGGTTCCACGATGCCCTGGCCCCCTCCTCTCCGTGCCCCCCCCCCCCGGCAGGCCCGGGAGGAACCTCTCTCTCTGACGGCCCCATGGGCCCTATGGGCCCAGAGGCGTCCCTCGGAGCCGGCGAGAGCCGCCCCTCTTGGGGTGGGCACCCCTCGACGGTGGCCGCCCTCCCCCCGACCTCGGTCGGAGGGCGGCGCCGGGAGCGTGCCCCGGGGCGGCCTCGGTGCCCAGGTCTTCTCGCCCGAGGGGGCCGAGCCGCTGCTGAGGCCGCCGGGCTCCTGCCGTCGTCGTCGCACGCCGGCCCGCGTCGCCGTCGCCCCCTCGTCACGGTCGTCGTCATGGAGGGAGACGGACCCGAGAGAACTCGGTCCTGAGGGAAACGGGTCCTATCGTTTTTTTCGGGCCGGACGAAAGGGGGGGATAGGGAAAGGGGGGGTTACGAAATCTGCTGCATGCAGCTGGTTTCGGCCTCGCCGCCGGGCCCATTCCTCGATACATGGGCGCCTCTCGGCGCCGGGAGGCGCCGTGAAAATCAGCTACGTGAGCTGATTCTCAAACCCCCCCTTTGCTATCCCCCCCTCTCGCCCGACCCGATTTTTGTCACCGCCGTCGGCCTTCAGGGCCCTTCCAGGGCCTTGGGGCGGCCTCGAAAGGACTAGCACAAGGGGCTGGTCCCGAGGGAGCTTCTGGGGTCCAGGGCATGTGTCTGCCAGGGCCGGTGTCCTTCATACCGATGTCGGCGTGCTTCTCCCATCGTTAGGAAGATGGTCGCGCCTCGTTTTCTCCACGGCGTCTTCTTGTCCAGTTATCCAACCTTCTCTGGGATATTTCTAATTGCTTGTTTGTCGCATCTCTTTGCGTCAGCGTACGAGGCTCAGTCGAAATGTACAGTTTTTCATGTGGTAATGCCCTGGGCTTCTTGGGTTTCGATGGCCTTGCTATGGAAAGCGTGACGATCCCACGCTTAAAATCAGTGAACGTCCTGGGGCCTCAGGGTTGGGCGTCTTGTGGGAAGCGTCTTGTGGTCGAGCTCCTGCTGCATGGGGGCCTTCTGCGCGGGCGCAGCGAGTTCGTGCGCGGGCCGTCGGGCGGTCGTGCGCTCGCGCCTGCCGCGTGAAGACGCCGCGAAGTCTGAGCTGCTCGCTGGGCGCGCGGGTGCCCATGCGGGAAGGGAAGGAGCCTTCCGTGCGCCCTCCCGTCCGACTAGGCCTCCAAGATGGGGTCCACGTAGACTGGTTCGGAGGATGTCGCCGCATCGCCGACGCATCGCCAATGCGGCTCGATGTGGGGCTTGATTATCTCGGCGCTGGCGTCGCCGAGGCGCCGCCGACTTCGCCGATGCATCGGCGATGCATCGCCGATGCATCGCCGATGCGGCGCGATCCTCCGACCCCATCTCGGACCCCATCCAGGAGGCCTCTATGTCCGCGTTGGACGGCCGCTGTTGATCAGGAGGGGAAAAAACACACAGACACAATTAATTGGCGATTCCCAGAAAACATGAGAAAATATGGGAATGGAGGGGGAAGACAAAAACCCAGAAAATATGGGAAAATATAGGGGATATTTCTAATTGTGTGTATTTATTTGTGTGTCCCAGTTCCCCTTCAGTTGTGCCCGAAGAAGCCCGGCGGCACGTTTCTGTTTTGCCAGCCGGCGGTTTCCAGATTCTTTCTGGATGGGACGTCCTGAGGTCGATGGGGTCGATCCGAGCTTCCTAGCCACTGCGCGAGAGGCACAGTTGGTTGAAGCCAGTATTTCCCTCCACCTTTGCGCTAGTAGAAGGGCCCCAGACCGTAGGAAATCGATTTCCAGATGGGGCTTCAAGTCGTTTGGAGGTCGAGCTCAGTTTACGAAGCCCTGTTCGAGAGGCAAGGTGGCTCGAAGCGAAGCGTGTTCCCCTCCACCCGACGAATTCTTTTCCGCCGCTAGTGGTGCCGCCGGGACGCCCGCTTTGTCAATTCGAGCAATCGTACCCGGTGTGCCGGCTGTGTCGGCTGGGCTCTGTGCAAGATCATTGCCGTTGCATCGGCACCACCCAGACACATTGTCAGAGCCAGCCCCGAATCATCAGGGGTAACTCGGGTCAGGGCTAACTCGGGGTCCTTTTTCGGGAATCCAAGCCCGAGTTACCCCGGACCCGAGTTACCCCGGATAACTCGGGCGCCCAGCATTGGGTAATGGTACTTGAGATGGTTCGGCATGAGGCACCAGCCCTGGGGACAGAGGTTGGTACATCGGGGACCCTGCTGTTGCAAAGACTGCGACGTCGGAGGTCTGGGTTTCTCTGTTTTGTAGCCTCGGCGGGCCTCTCGCGCCCCCCTCCGCCCGTCTGTCTGCTCCCATCCCGCTTCTGCTGCTGCTCCCGAGATCCTCTCCCCGCTTTACCTCTCGCTTCTCCTCCTCCTCAGCGTCCGCCCGCCTTTTTCCTCGGCCTCCCCCGTTGTCCTCGGTGTCCTCTCCATCGCCCCTCCGCCTCCTCCTCTTCCTCATCCGCCTCCGCCTCCTCCTCCTCCTCCTTCTTCTTCCCCTCCCCCTCCCCCTCCCCCTCCTCCTCCTCCTCCTCCTCCTCCTCCTCCTCCTCCTCCTCCTCCTCCTCCTCCGCTGCTCCCATCCGTCCATCGTCCCGACTCGGCGCGTCGCTTAATGTGCTCGCTGCTCCTCCTTCCCCCCACCCTCCTTTGGGGCGCTCTGAGGATATTAGAGCATCTTGGCATCTTCCTTTTCCTCCGGTTTCTTCCGCTCCCCCCTCTTGGATGTTTCGCGGGCAGTGTCTGGATGTCCTTGGACGACGACGACGACGTGCATTGCCCCAACAACGAGCGAGGTTTACATTTCATAACCCGCTCGTTTAAAGCTCCCGCCCATCCGACAGACCCGCCCGATGTCCTACCCGCCCGACCCAGCCGACACTTTTGACGTCCGTCCCGCGTCGTCTTCGTCTGTCGACGGTCGTCGTGGTCGTTCTTCATTGTGAGCGTCAGCGTATGCGTCGCCATCTTCGACAGCGCTGCCGCCGTCGCAGTCGTCGTCGTCGTTTGCCGGCGCGCAATGTGGGTGTTGAACCCCTCCGACTTTCGTTCGAGGGGAGCGGCGTGGGTTGGAGTTTGTTCTCGCCAGAATGGGGGGGGGGCCCAATTCCAGATGAGGGGAGAGGTAGTTTCGAGTGTTGGGTGGTGGCAGGTCATGGTTGGAAGGAGGGGGGGGAGGGCTCGCCGACCCGAGACTCTCTGTAGTCCCCAGGGTCGATCCCCGACGAAGCACGTTGCCCGTGAAAGAGACCCTCTGCAGGCGCAGGGGTCGATCCCCGACCAACGCCAGACCTTTGACGCCTTGGAACCATCAGGGCGGCCGGTTTTCCCGCGGCCTCGACCTCTGGAGGCCAGTCTCGGGCTCCGGAGCCTGCAGAGAGCGACCCAGTCGGGTGCTGCCGGGAGTGCCCCTGGCCCAAGGCGCGGCCCCCCCTCCCAGGGTTTCTGAGGAGGCCCCCACAGCTTCCAGAGCACCCTTCACGAGGCCCAGAGGGCCCCATGAGCCAGGGGCACCACCACCATGAGCCAGGGGCACCACCATGAGCCAGGGGCACCACCCGTGACGAGGCCCAAATAAGCTGGGGGCACCGTGAGCCAGGGGCACCACCATCGGCAGCCCCCGGCCCAGGACGAGAGGCGGGCCCAGCGTGGGGGGGGGGGGGGCGGGAGGACGAGGGCAGCCGAGGCAGAGCCCCCCGTGCCGCACGGCCAGGCCGACCTCCGCGGGCGACAGGCCGCCGCACCTGTCGCGCGAGGACATTTCCGCGATCGACGCCAAGGAGAAGGTCGGGCGGGCACAGGAGGAGGAGGAGGAGGAGGAGGAGGAGAGGATGAGGAGGAGGAGGAGGAGCAGGAGGAGGGGGGGGGAGAGGATGCTGAGGAGGAGGAGGAAGGGGAGGAGGAAGAGGAGGGGGAGAAGGGAGGGAGGGGAGGGAGGGGGAGGGGAGGGAAGACAGACACAAAAGTCGTCGCCCAGAACCAGGAACGCGTGGAGGAAAGGATTGGAAGTGCGGGGGGGAACGAGCAGCCAGGACATGTGGGGAATCCTGGGGGTTGTGTGTCCGTTCAGTTGTGCGCGTCCCTGGGCCCCTTCGAAATCGCAGTGGAGGGCAAGCTGAGACAACGACCGCTGACCCTTCGGCGGGCTCCTCGTCGCCGCGGCCGGACGCAGCTCGGAGGTCTGTGGCGTTCGGGCCCTCTGGAGGGTTCTGGGGACCAGGTCGAGCCGCCGTGGTCTCAGCTCGCCCTGCTCCGATCGCCCTAGCGCGTGCCAGAGCGCTCTGGAATGGACGCGGCGCCCGATACATCCTCCAGAGTTTCGGGCCGGGCGAAAGGGGGGGATTGGGAAAGGGGGGGGTACGAAATCTGCTGCATGCAGCTGGTTTCGGCCTCACCGAGGGGCCCATTCCTCGATACATGGCCGCCTCTGGCGCCGGGAGGCGTGAGCTGATTCTGAGCTACGTGAGCTGATTCTCAAACCCCCCCTTTGCTATCCCCCTTTCGCCCGACCCGAGATACATCCTCCAGAGTTGCCGGATCTCGGAGATCCACGATTTCTCCCCCGATCCGACTTTGTCCCGGCGTTGGTCTTCGTCTCAAAAGTCGGCAACGCGCAGAGGGGTGTAATTAGGCGGATGGGGGAAGGCTTCTTGGAACCGCCCGTGCTTCTTAGAAGGCGCAGACCATGTTTCTGTACATGTAATCCTGGCGCCTTCTGAGAAGCGGCCTCCTTCTCAGAAGCTTAGTGCGCGCCGCCAACAACGGGGGCACGGGGAATGCCGATTTCTGCTTTTGGCAATGCCCCCGTATCCCTGGGCGCCGTAGACGGGGGCCGAGTGAACGGGGGCATGTGGAAGAGCCCTCGCCCCCGATTAGCGATTTAGGTCACCCCCCATGAGACCCCTAAATGGCGGGTGGCCTGAATGGAGGGTGAATTAAATGGGGGGCCACCTCATGGGGCATGTGGAAGAGCTTACGAAGCCCCGGGTCTTCGTCTCAAAAGGCCGCGCCGACGAAGCTGGCGGGCATCCCCACGGCGCTGGTGGTCCTCATGGCGGCCGCCGCCGCGGTGAACTTCACACTCTGCTGCGCCCTGCGGGGCACGCGCTCGGAGGACCGCGCGCCCTGCTCTGCTCCCGCCGAGCCCGACGCGCGGGCTCGGCCCGGAGAGGGAGGGGGGGGAAGAAGGCCCGCAAGCTCCCCCGCCCTCCGAGAAGTTCTCTGGGCCCGCCCCGAAGACGCAGAAAAGCTCTCAGAAGGCCGGTGGCCTTCTGAGAAGCCCCGCCGCCTTCCGAGAAGGTCATCTCCTTCTCACTGCCCCCCCGCGCTCGCCGCCGATGGTCGGAGGAGGGACAGGTTCCCACACCGCTAGCATTGCCTCGTTGTCCTTCTGTGGGGCCTCCTGGGAGGCCCTCGTCGCCACCGCTAGATTCGCCTCGAGATTCAGGTCACAGCTCGCCCCGGGAGAGGTCCAGGGAGTAGCAGTATGGGTACCTTGTGGTTTCCCCAGGGGAGGGGACGGCGAGGGAGGGGTGGATGTCATGGCTGGTGCCCCTCTTCACGTTTCAATGTGTCTCTTGGCCTCGCTCGTCGGCGGCGGCGTCGGCGCAAGAAGTATTTGCCGAGCACTGCTGGGCGTCGGCAACCCCCAATGAGCCCCCGAAGCAGTGATTCTGTGTTCAGCCTTCGGAGGGGGCGTTACGAAAGACCTGTCGAGGGTAGCAGGCATGGGCGCTCCTGTGGAGGGAGGAGAGGAGGAGGAGGAGGAGGAG